TATACATAAATGCTGTCAAAATGTAATGTTTTGTTTGGAAAGTTGATGAAAACCCATGCAGTGTGCACACGATACACTTGGATTTTTTTAAATCAAATATTTCACAAACATTGATGAAGTTTCAACTGAACAGGATGAATTAGTTTGTCCTGACCTCCACATTTATCACAGTTTTCCTGCACTGGCTTTTGCAAACTCCTTGCACTGCTGAACTGGACCGGACCGACTCGAGCCCACTTGACCGGACTGCAGAATTACGCATGTAAATTCAGAGCAGGAAATGCAGCACGTGAAAGAAACATGAGGAAAAGTGATTTTTATCAGAAATACAAGTTCAAGTTTATTTATTTATACAGCACCAAGTCCCAACATCCGTTGTCTCAGGACACTGTAGATAAAAAGAACAATGTAAAGAAGAAAGCAGCAGATTGTGTTGAATCACTTCATCACAGTCTCCCATCCTGAGCAAACGGTGGAGAGGAAAAACTCCCTGCTAATCAGGAAGAAACCTCCAGCAGAACCAGGCTCAGGACAGGAGACCAACATAAGGACCTGGGATCGTTCTGTGAGGAGTTTGCATGTTCTCCTCGTGCTTGTGTGGGTTTTCTCCAGGTACTTCACTTTCCCCACCCTTAAAAACATGTTGCCCCCCAGGCCTCCCTTGAAAGAGAGATCTGAGATCTCAACAGAACTTGCCTGGTTTAACGGTAAATAAATTAACTTCACTGCAAACACTCATGGATTTGCAGTTTTGCTGTTTTTCTTTTATTAGTAGGAATGGGCGATATAAACGATATACGGTAGAAACGATATAAATTAGTCCTATGATAGAGATCTGTAGTCTACCGGCCAACCGCACAATTCTTTTTGATGATGTAACCAGCTGGAGTCAAAACACAGGAAGCGTGGCTGAGAGCGTAAATGAAGAGAGGGGGAAAAACTTATCCGGACCTGGTTTGGGTGTGTGAAAATGAACGCCGAACTGTTTACATGTGTGAAGGCGCATCCACCGACCACACTGCCTGCTGCAGGAGGAGTGTGCGCCGCGGCACGTTTGACAGCGAGGCGACTGTCAGTGCAGGTGAAGTAGTGCTCCAGGACACACAAAAGCTCGCTGAGTCTGGACCTCGTTTCTCCTGCGGTCATAGCGCGACGCCGCACGGCCGAATGCGTGTGCACTCTGCGTCCACTTCGTGCTCGTTCCAAAGCACGACTATAACTCAGCGTTTACTGTCTCCTTGTACAGCGGAGAAGTGCTGTGGGAAAGGCTGACAGTCAGACTGTCTTTCCAAAGGAAAAAAAAAAGCATAAACAGGATGATTGTCACCGCGCCGGAGCGCGCACAGATTAAACACGTGGAGTGCAGAAAAAATAATCTGCAAAGTGTGTAGAAAGGAATAAATACAAACAATTTGTTTTACCACCTTAAAACGAAGCTGGTGATTCCAAACACAACATCCAATGGATGTAGATATCTGTTACATTATAGTTAGTGTGTGTGTGTGTGTGTGTGTGTGTGTGTGTGTGTGTGTGTGTGTGTG